CATTTTTCCTGGGGTCACAGTATGCATCAAATGCTTCTATTAACTGTTTTAGTGTGTCAGGGCTCCCTGGCATCAGTGTTGCACTTACTTCATGGCCTTTTTCCCCCACTAGATAGTAAAACAGCTTTACCTTCATTTTCTCTTCTTTATCAGTCATGGTTAACTCTGTATACAAACTGAATTCTTGCTTCCATGTGTCCATGCCTGTGCCAGCCTCTATGTGTTGAAATCCAGCTGTCCTGGGGGCTGCAGTCCCGCCATGCTTCTCACAATCTGTTTGAATCACTGCTGGGGCCCAGGCCTCTCTTTTCTCTTGGGCTTCCTCACAGACTTTCTGCTGCCACCATGTTTCATGTGACCCTGTCTGGGTACTCAAGGAGCAGCTCCCTACTTAATATAAACAGTGTCTTTATTATAGCAGAGAGCTGTTACAGGTCCTGCTTTTCTCCCCCAGCCTCTCTAACTCTCCTCCACTTCCTGTTCCTCCTTCAGACTCCTCCTTTCCGCTGCTGCTGGTTTTGTCTCTGAGATCCAGACATATTTTTACACATACTAAGTAAGATTTAGTGAAGCACTCTACCAACTGGCTTATTAAAAATTAAAGGTAGTTTACCTACTGTACAACAGTATCCTAGTACACTGAGACAAGTATTTCTTTAGATGATATTGATGATTAGATTGATGTTTATATCTAGTAGCTATGTGTGAGATGACGCTTATACAAACCTAATGCTCATCAGCAAGAATTTTCACAATTCCCCTCTACCTGCTTATGCTTATTTCCTCTTAATATCTGTTCTGTTACTTTATCAGGATTTAAAAGACTTGTTGATGTATGATTTGGTAGCTGCCACAGAGGAATTCTAATGGTGACATGCTGGTGCCACCGATTTCAGCAGCAAAACTCCTGTTGATTGCAACAGGACCCAGATTGCACCTAAAGTCTTTTTCTTATGAATCTCCAACAGACGAAATCTGAAGACTGTTGTCTAGGGTCTGCTAAAGTTGCCCATCACAGCACCTACTTTGGATTAGAAGAAAGGACATGGAAAGCAAAGTGTTTTTCTGCTACTCTCTAACTTATGAAATGTCATAAATTGTGTTGATGTAGGATAAAAATCTAATAAAAATGTAGTCAATAAAGAATTATAGCACAGGAATATAATTAATGATTGTCAATGTGGTATTATAGAAAATTGATCTCATAAAACCCGAGTTCATTCTTTAATGAGGAGATTACGAATTTGGTTGATAAAGCTAGCTGCTAAAGTAATACATTCTATAAGACATTTCACTTAGTATTAGATTATATTATGACTAAAAATTGCACTAAACAATCTAGATAAAGTACATCTTAAATGGATTATGAGCCAGCTGACAGATCTCAAAAAGCAGCTGGCAGGGAGAATTATCAGGAAAGATGTTCCTAAAGGGACTCTAAATGAATCAATGAGCTGAAAGAAAACAAAGTCACCGTTGATAAAATATACAAGGTTTTTTTTGTTTTGTTTTTTACTATATAATAAGGACAGTTCAGTCTTAAAGAAAGATCTAACTCATCTGCTAAGGTGGACCCATTCAGCCTAGGATTGGGATAAGTTTTTGCAAACCCAAGCATTTTGAATAAAGCCAAAAATTTTACAGCAAGAGGATGCGACCCATGCTGGCAGAAGTGGGTGGGTACTATATCCTTGAAAGCAGAGGACCCAGAAATGACCCAGTGAAAATGCAACTGAACATGAGATCTGGTGTGATGCTTTGGTTATATAATACTTGGATGTATATAAGTTAATAGGGATAGGGAGGGGGATCTTGGGTCTTTATACAACATTGATGAGACCAGAACACTGTATACTGTTTTATCTTAGTATTACCTAACATTATAACTAGATATGTGATTAAACATTGTGGCTAACCATTTTAGAGGTTGAAAATTGAAGACAATGCAGAAAAATGGAAACAAAATATTTGAGAGCAGGAGAAAACGCCCTCCAGTAACAGATAAAGAGTGATTAGCTTTGCTTATCAAAAGAAGATTGAAAAACTGACTTGATGCTCTTACATGGTAAAAAATACCTAGTTGTAAAAGGCTCTTTAATCTACTTGAGCAAGACATAACAGATACTAAAGGCTGAAAGTTGAAGCCAGACAAATGTCATTTAAGCACAGCACTTTAAGTCAGGGTGATCAAACACTGAAGCAATGACCAAATGAAGTGATGAATATTCCATCTCTTGATGTATTCAATTCAAAACTGGATCATATGCTTTTGCCTCTCACGTTTATTAGCGCATAAGCTTGTGTTTGTAACAGCAAAGAAATTAAATTCAGTGGAATAAAGGAGATCAGACTAGATGACCTTATGGTCCCTTCTGTTCTTAAACTCTACAAATTTATGAATAATGGTTACTTATATCTTCCCTATTTCTCCTATGCAAACTGACCCACTCAGTAGTAACATTTCTGCCACAAAAACTTGTCATTTAAATTTCAGTCATGCCAGCTGGGTCATACTTTTCACAGAGTGTCACTTTTAGTTTATTTTACTTATTTCTAATACTCCTTTAATTTATCAAACTTCATACTGCTTAAAATGCATTTTTGTTGCTCTTATCTTTAGTGCTGTAACTGAAAGTACATGCTGGAGTGTCTGAGTTTAGCAAAACCCTATTGTCTTTCATTCCAAACCATAGTTTAATAACCGTTCAGTCTTGAAACCCTGAAAATAACACCCCTTTAGTTTCAATGAAGACGGTGTAAATTAAATTGCTTTGCCTCAATTAGAAGGCATTACAGAGCACTCTCAAACCTAAACTCCACCCCTCTTCTCCCTTGCCCTTCATGAATTCATCTCTCTCTATTATTCATCATCCTTACCACCCAAAGAAAAACTGACAGGAAACCCTATCCGTCCATACTACTGTTTGTGCTTCCCTGCTCCCTGATATGTGACAGGAACAGAACAAACCTTCTTTTTCTTTCATCTGTTCCCATATATACAGGTGGAAATTCACTAATCTACTTCAAGACCAGATAGATAACTCCGAGCTGGAAAAAAGATCCTTAGATCATCCTGTCCATCTCTATACTAGATATTTGTCCAATTTGTAGTTCTTTTGTTCTAGCACGGCAGAAGCAGAATATTATCCCACTCTCACGATTTGGATCAGGTGATCCACAGCTCTATTTTAAAATCCAGATCTGTAATATTTAAGCATTAATTCCAATTAAAGATTTCGTTGTGAAATTATCAGTCAAAAATCATTTGCCAGCTCCTCTTAATATTTGTTTCAATTTCATAAATCAATTGGTGATCCCTACTTCTCAGTCTCTTAATCTTCTAACTCAAGTACAGAATATTCTCAGGAACTCACTTCTGTGCAATTCACCATTCTATGAATGCTGTGCCTGGCTCTGCTCCACACCCTCATTTGTAATCATTCATAAGTCTCCAGCTGTTCTCCTAGCTCCCATACACAGTTTCTAAACAAAGCCTGCTAAACAGTCACTAACTACCTCTAAAAACAATTCACCAAACCAGCATTTTTTGTCTCTGCCATTCACCACTGAAAACACAGACTTTATGCTTGTTATTTCAAGCCTCCGAGGAGCACAGCTGAGATCTCCTACTCCCTGCTAACAGTCTGATTTTCTTTGGATTGTTTTTACTTTGTACTCTTATTAGTCACTCGCACACGTAGCTCCAGCCTCCAACTCAGATGCAATTCGCTCAGCTGACCTCTCAGGATGTTCTTTAGTATTTTCTCTCCCCCACTCTCCTAATTTAGTTTTCTACTTCAGGATCACACCCTCTTATAGCTATATCTCTGTGTTGCTTTACTGGTTGCTTCATTGGTTTGGCTCCACTCTTTGTAGCCACTGGCTCACAGAAAAAGCACTCCATCCAAGAACAACCATAACGCAACCCTCCAATACTATTATGTTTCTGTTTCTTGGATCAGCACTTCTTTCCGCTTCAGTGGCAGCAAAATATTGTGGGGTCAATTCTGCTCCCTGCTCTGCTCCTTATGTATGTTCTGAGAGCTGTAAAGGCACTGCAGATGTCCAGGGAAAAGTTACACACCTCCCCTAACCTCTTGCAGGGGATGAATAAGGTTCATACAGAAAACCTGTTGCAGCCCCAAGCACAGGGGGAGGAGCAGAGGCAAGTGAAGAAATAGCATAGCAAGGGAGATTCTAGAAGTAAAGCAAGAAGAACAACCATAGTTCTTCCCCTGCTTGCAATGTAGTGCAGTGCGGTTTGGCAGGGCAATCTGTGTAATTAAATGGAGGAAAAAGATTTTTCTTTCTTTTAAATGGAAGCTGCATTCTGGACTGCTGGCATCCCATCACTAAGGGAGTCCACAAACTCCCTTCTGCCCTTGTGGAAAGCACAAACCAACTTAATATCCAGAAGGCTGATGAATACAAACTGCTGGACAATGGTTTGGTCTCTTCAAAAATAAACTTGCAGCACTAAGGTTACACACAGTACTGACTCTACTAATACACACTCTAAAGAGGTACAGATTGCCAAACATACAGATACCTATGCTTATGTTCTGCTGAATGAACATGGCACCGTAATACACATCTACTAAGACACTTACATGGTTCCCCAACATTTTGTATCTGAGCATAGAAATGATTTAAATTATTCTTAAAGATATGTTATATGCAAAGCAGTTAAAGAAAGTTGCTTATTTTGGCTTCTGCTTTTGCTGGAATTTATAATTAAAATTAAACTAACAACTCCAGGCACCAACAGTGATAAAATACAAAATTTAAATAATCACAATTAAGATGTCACACATAACACACAATGCAGTAAGCAAAAAGTCTAGTTTCAAACCATCTCACTGGCACAAAATGAAAAGTAAATTCTGAGTTTACATCTCAGAGAACAGCAGTAAGACATGCACATAAGGTTTAACCCCATTATTCCTTCCATGTATCATTCTAAACACACACAATATTTATACAGTAAGGCAGGAACTTACTTTTTGGCAAATCCCCAGTACTAGATGCTGAAACTGTTCTGCTCCTATCATGAGATGGGCTGCTTTCCTCTCTTTCCGTTATTGTTGATCCCTCAGAAAGGGCTGAACCACAAGCTACAGATTCTAATGCTCCAGAGAACACTGAAGCTGAAAATTCAGAGAACTGTGACTCAGGAATTTTATGACATCCATTTGGCAATTCACCATTAAACTGTTCATAGGAGCTACTATAGGAATAATCACTTTTTGCATTTGACTCATCGAGGCTATACTCCTCAGTGTTTGGACAGTCTTCCTCTTCCTCATCTTCATCTTCAATCTGTTGTTCCAATAAGAATGGACCATTTATAATATGACCGTTTGTTTTGGGGGATTCTATCCACTTAGAGTCTGTAGGGTCAGTGTTGACAAGTTCCTGTTCCACATCATCATCTTTTTCAGTATTTTCTTTTTCTGTGTCCTCTTTTTCTTCCTGATCTTCTGCTTCGCCTTAATATAATGAACATATTAGACCAAATGTCAATTTATCTTTCTAAAATTATGACATCTCGTAATGTTTAACTCTTAAATACTGGACTTTTGACATAACATGCAAAGAAACACTGCATTTTACTTGAATACACAAAGAAATTAATCTTTACCTAAAGTTTTCAATGTATTACATATCTCATATTTTTATTTGGAAACCCTTTAGAACTCTGGTTCTTGCCCATTTAATCTTCTTTTAAAGTTATTTCTCAGCAGAGTTAAGAAATTATTATTATCCAAGATTTGCATTTTTATAGTGCCCAAAGGCTCTATTGTTCTAAAAGGGTGAATTTCACCCCTAAATATTTCAAAGTATACCCTGAAAGCTGTTCTGTGTGCAAGGGCAACAGGAGTCCCACTGATTTTTAAAGAGTGGGATGGGTGTACAGGTGCATGCAGAACCACTTGCAGGGGCACAGACAAATTCTGAAACAACGAGCAAGCATAACAATCAACAAGAAAGAAAGGGGGGAGAAGGTTGTATTAAGAAAGCCAGAAAACCAGAGACACAAGTTCCAGACACCTCCTTTCCTGAGGGTGTTTGAAACTGTCTCTCGCACACCAGCTCTCTCTCCAGCACTCTTTAGCCAAAGCCACTGCTCCTTGCATTTAATAGCCAGTGGATAAAATAGAGGTGGGGCAGCATCAGCAGGGATCCAGGCTAGAACCTGGGACCTCCTCTCTTCCAGTAAGCAGCCATGTCACTGAGCCACACACCATCTGATATAGGCTCTTCCTCCTCTTTGCTGCCCAGACGCATTTGTACATATGATATCAGGTGCTTGTAGACATGACAAAAATTGCCCTTTTGTGTGGCTTAATCATGTCCCACTTTACACATGAGTTTTTGGTGATTTAAATTAGTTGCATCATCATAAACTAACCCCCATCTGGATGTAGAATAGTTTGCGATGATGCAACTTGGAAAGGTGCAGCCATTAATCTGCCATGTGTACAAAGTAATTCACTGAATGACATGTGGTGAGGCCCTTTGTCCATCAGATGTTGCAACAATTTTTGTGTAGTGAGCCCCCTTGTCCACCAAGTGCCACTACAATTTGCAGATATTTGTGTGTAGTGAATGTTTTAGGACACCCAGGGGGAGACTTGAATGCCACTGATTGGCCCGCATTAGCAATAAGCATGCCCACTTTAATAATTGCAGATGAGCTGTCAGCATTCATCCCCTCACCAGCTATCTCTAAACTGCTCAGCAATTCAAACCATGTCCTGCTGGCAGCCGTGGCATTCACAGGGCTAAAGAACAAGCATGCCCATAAGATACAAAAAGTTGCCACTGCTCTGTGCTTTGAGGTGTCATCATGTGCCAGGTGAACGCCCCTGACTGGCACCAAAACTTGCAACAGAATCTCCAAAACTTGCCTAGAATCTCCCTTGCTAGGCTCACAGAGCCTAGGTCTTGCACACATAGCAGAAATCCCCAGACTTTGCCTGGCAACAACTATGAGGAACCCCTGCACCGTTAAAACATCCCTTTCAGCTGGCTCCAGCATAATAGTCCCCCTAATGCCATTAATTCACTCGCTGGTTTTACGTAAAGTAGTAGAGTTCTGTGAGGTTGATCATGAGTGTTAAGCACACCTGCTTTATGAATAGCGGGTGAGTTGTGTCAGCACTCATTCCCTCACTGATGATGTCTAAACTGCTCAGCAGTTCAGACCATGTCCCTCTGGGAGAGGTGTCTTGACACACAGGTCAGTAGGTAGCCTGCTACTATGCCATGGCATAAACAGTACAAAAGGACACAGAAGGTCTAAAACACGTCCAGAACAAGCAGGCCCATAAGATACAAAAAGTTGCCACTGGTGCAGACAGAGCCCCACTCCCTGCCTGGACCCTGCCTGGATCCAGCATGTGCTAGGTGAACACCGCTGACTGGCGCCAAAAGTTGCAACAGTAGCAGAACATGTCTGCTGTCCAAACTTTGCCCAGACACAACAGGGTGGGAGGGGGGTAAACTTCCCTTGGCCCTGTCACCTCAAGACTTATAAACTGAGCGCACAGTTCCCCAGGGTCCCCTTATTGATCCAAGATGTCTGACGTTCAGGAGAGAATGGAGCAGACCAGGGTCCACCTGGACTTTCACCAACATAAACAGCCTGGTGTGAGTGCTGGGGGAACCTGAGGTTGTAAGCCAGTTTGTCTGCAGCCTGTGGGCCAACTGGCACACGTACCTTGATGTTGCTTGGAGAATGGGCAAGTGGGGGCACAACAGTACAGCAGTCCATTGCCATGTCAAGGCAAAGATGCTGTAGGCTGCTTTCCACAGGGGTCTCACCGAAGCACAGCCACAGGGCACCCCACTGCGTGACATGGCCCATTACAGATACCTCCAGCCACTAAGGGCTGGAGGTACTGGAGTGCTATGAATGCACAAGGACAGAGGCCTCTGGGGGCTCCAATGGAGAAGACAGCAGCAGGGTCCCAGTCATGTCACCTGCCACTTCCTCCACGGAGGACAGACCATGGAGCTCGACCTCCACTCAGTATGTGAAGCCCTTTAAGTCACTTGTCACCGGAAGTGACAGCTGTGATTGGGCTGGGCAGTGAAATGAAAGGGGGGGGGAGGGGGGCAGCATAGGACAGTGCTTTAAAGACCCTGGGAGTTAGTGGGCAGTGCAGGGAGGTACATCGGTGGTCAAAGCAGGTAGATACTTGTTTTTAGCCACTCAGGGCCTGCTACAACCTGTGGCCAGGCACCCCCTTCTTGGTCATTTTGGGCCGACTGTTTATCCACTTCCAAGATTTGACAAGTGTCTTTTTAGAGTGCCAAGCAGCCTTAATTCACTCTTTTCCCTGCATTTCTTGATTTTCAGCTCCACTTGCAATGCTGCAGCCAGGGACATGCAGGCTACCAAGGCAGGCTGCCACCCATGCACACACAGACAGGATCATGAACATCCTCAGGGACTGTGAGTATTGGTTGCGTGAGATGGTGAGACAGATCTGTCTGGCTATGAGCAGATTCATGGCTGTCCAATATGGCAGGAATCGGACTGAGTCCAGGAGGCATTCTCAGACCAAGGAGGATCAGCCAATAATGATGATTCTATGCCTGCCAGTCATCGACTCCGCCAGCCATACTCTTGCCCGGGAGCAGAACAGGCCAGTACAGAGCCATGCTCTACCATGCAACAGTTCTCAATCAGGCTTGAAAAGTCCACTTTAGAGCCAATGTCTTTTAGTTAAAAATTATTATTGCTTAGATTTTTTTTTCATGACTCATGCATCATTAAAGTAGTAAAAAGGAATTCCTCTGTAGTAATTATGCAGCATTATCTTATAAATGCTGTTCTCTGGTTTGCTTAATTATGGTTAGTATATGGTTTGTAAATAAAGGGCTATTTTGCTTTGTTCGATTCTTCACTTCATGTTCCCTTTAAGAGGGGGAATATAGAAGGGTGGGGGAGGGGATTTGCTGGCTTATAGTGGCAATTAGCACTTACTCAAGCATGCCTGACTGGTTTTGAATCTGCTTTGTTCTCTATCACTACCAGTCATTTGGTTGAACTCCTGAGAAGCTGTGTGTGTTCAGAGGAAATATTATGTGCATTGTACAGCACCCACCCAATTACTGCTCCCCGCATTAACAAAATTCTGGGCCGTCCCACCACCACCAGGCCTTATTTTGGCCACTATGTCTTTCTCTGGGCATAATAATAAAAGCCCAGGCTTTGAAAACCCCTCCCCACCCCCACCAGCTCCTCCCTTAGATGGGGTAGTTGGGGAGTGCTGAGAGTGCATGCACTGAGAGGAAATGTTATGGGTGCAGTGGAGCATCCTTGATTACTGCTTACCACCATACCTCGCAGTAGCCACATTCTGGGCAAACACCCCCCCCTCCCCACCTCAGTCCAGAAGTAGGCATGTCCTCTTTCGTTAGTGCAATGCATCTGAAACAAGCCTGGTTTTCTTTTGTTTGGCTTACCTCCCCCCCTCCACTCACACCTCTACAGCCCTTCCTATGACAGAAGACAGACATGGATCAAATTCATTTTAATTTCACCAAAGCATTTATTTTATTGTCAGTAACCAAAGCAGAACTGAAAAAAAGCAGAAACACAATGCCCATTCCCCAATTTTCTACAGAAGCAACAGCACTAACAACCAAAAACATATCACTCATTATAGGCTTTTCTCCCCCCCTTGTGCCCCTCTCTCATCCTCCCCTTTGTCCCTAAAGCATAGTGGTGCTCTCCTTGGCCTCCTAGAGTAGGGGTGCCCCTTGCTCACAGGCACAGTGGCTGTTGCTGAGGTTGTTCCTATGGGAGGCTGATCATGGATAGGGATCTCTATGAGGTTCAGCTCATGGATAGGGGCATGCACAGTGGATGTCACATGGGTGGTCCTGGTGGAGGGCAACTCACAAATGGGGGCCAGGGTCATGCGCCTAAGGAGCTCCCTCTCTAAACATGCCTCCCATTTGCTGGGTCTCCACAATATCCTGATGGCACTGTCTGGCCAGGTCAAGGCATTCCCTTGTACTGGCCATGATCTCCCAGTGAGTTGTTGCCTCTTGCTCTTCAATCTTTCTATACACCTCCCTGCCATTCATCCGCGGACCATACTTGCAATTCTGAGGCTGCCACTAAAGCCTCCCGCATGCTTTCTCTTTACTGTCGCTGCCTGCAGCAGTGTTCATGCAGTCACTCAGCTCTGGTCTGTGCTGGTGTTCACACTTCAGGCACATGTCCTAAAATTCCAGCGGACGTGGTAGCTGGTAACAGGAATGGGAAAAATAAAAGGTGCTCATGGTCAAAGATCTAGTCGCCACTCCCTGTAGCGGATAGACTACCGGCGATCGCCAAGCAGCATCCCTGCCACTTGGTGAAGTAATGCAGCCACCCACAAAAAATGATTATGCAGGAACCCAGATGTCTCCCTGTCCACTAAAGAGTTCATTGTACATTTCAGCAGCACAAATTCCTGCCGCTAAATGAATTAACACTTCCCCCCAAGCAACTTTAAGAGAGGGCACAGCATGTACACCCCCATGTAAGTGAAACATTGTGCAACTGCAAGCAGTGGACATATTTGCCACTTACAAAATTAACACCCTCCCTCATGCCTCGCCACACTTGGCCCTGGCACAAAAGCAGAGCTAGATTCACGCAAGCCCTAGCTGTCCAACCCATTTAATGCCCCTTCCCTGTAACTTACAAGTCCCCAGGTGCAGATCCTCATGCTTCTCTGGCACCGATCTTTGGGTCTCTGGAATTTCTGGTGTGTCCCACAAGTCCAGTGACAGTATCATCATGGAATCTGATGCATCCTCCTCCTCTGGGTTATGTGAGCAAGACATCGGGGAGAGTGGGGTCATGGTCAAGACAACTTTGTCTCGGCTGTCCCCATTCTTCTGCTGCTGCAAGCACTTGCCTCCCCCCGCTTCCAACTGGTTGCCTGAAGGCTGAGCAGTGCATATTGCACTGCCTGCTACAGTGGCAGGGCAGTCTGTGGACTCTTGTGGGCTAGGTGATGCTGTGGCCTCCTGCACCCTCATCATCCCAAAGGATAGGAGGCAAGCGTTGCTTGTGTCCTTCGCGAAAATGCAGGACAGCTGCTCATAGAATGGGGCTATTGTGCATCCTGCCCCCAAACAAGAATTCTGGTCCTTGGCCCGATGGAAAGCACATTTCAGGGCCTTCATCTTGCTGTGGCACTGTGCCCAGTTTTGGTTGTGGCCGTACACCTACATTTCCTGGGCAATGGTTGCATAGACTGGCTTATTTCATAGATTTTCCAGTGGCTCCAGAACCTTTTGTTCCCCCCAAATATCAATCACATCTGCCAGTTCTTCCTGGGACCGGTTGGGACCATGGCTTAGGGGTACATCTGGCTGCTGCTCCAAGCCCAGCAGATATGGCTTGTTCTTCAGTGCCTCCATTTCAGGGCCAAAACAAGTCACTGAGCGAGGGGTCAATATGACCTGACCAGAGTTGTGAGGTGCTTTCTGCCCCCAGCTGAGCAGAGTTATATAGACACACGTTTGGAACCTTGTCATGCAGGTCTGAGTTTCCTCATATGCATAACTATGCAAGTGTGAGCTGCGGCTCAGTACTGGCACTCTCAGAAATCTGCTCATGTGACCTTTCCTAACAGAACACCTGTGACATTCATAGCCTGCCCCAAATTGTCCCCCAAATTGCCCGCTGTCCAAAACAATAGTTGTTAATGGCTCACTGCCACACGCACCAAAAATTCTTTGCCTGGCAGTTTGTGATGCAGTTTGAAGGGACTAAAGCTTCAAGCACCCCCCCAAAACACTGTCCTATCAGTCATTCAACTGTACTCCTGGGGGGTGGGTCTATTTGATCTGGGAGGGTGGGGAGAGAAATTCAGGGTTTGTCCATTCAATCTTCTGCTCAGCACCTGCCTTTTTTTCTGCTCAGCACTTGATGGATTTCAGGGGTAACCAGCAAAAAACCTAAAATCCCAAGTTTTTAGAAGAGGGTTGCTTACAGGAAGCTGGGGTGTGTAGGAATTGAAATGTAAAGAGCAGGGCTGTTAATGATAATGTTCCTGTTCAACAACCCTTAATTCAGGGTTCAGCCATTTCAGTGTTCTGCTCAGCACCTGCTTTTTTTCTGCTGAGTCATGTAATTGAAAACGGGTGTGAGGAGATTTGGGACATTTGTGACTGCAATATTACCTGGTGGTTCTGGCACCTCAATGTCTGGCATAGTTCTTGATGTGCTAATGGGACCTATTCACAAAGAGCATCCACATCCACATTTATTCCCTGGCTTCCGCCAGGTCAGGGGTGCTTTCTGGGGTGATACTTCATGATGGGTCTATTCATTGTTCCACTAACCACTATTCTTAGATGGATCATCGGTGTCTGGGGTCATTGGAAGCCCCAAGTTTTTAGAGGAGAGGTGGTTACAGGAACCTAAGGTGTGTAGAAATTCAACAGCCCTACTTATTCAGCCCCCTGAGGGCAAGCAGGTGGTACTCTGAGCAAAACAGTAACTGTTGTGTCCTGCATAACAACACGGCTTTGATGAATCCTGACAGAATCTGCAAAGAGAACCAGATGCTGTTGGACGCCTTGGAGGTATCCAACCAGAGAATGGAGGCACTTGATAATGCAGAGATACTGCTACTGAACACAATCAGGCTATGATGGACCTTCTTCAAGGGCGCCAATGCAGGGTAGCAGCTTCTCAGGTCTTGCTATACTGGTCAATGGGCCGTGAGCTGGAGTCAGAGAACCGAGAAGAAACTGGTTCTCAAGGCTGACAGGGTTCTGTGGATCAACCTACAGAGCAACGATCACAAGGCGCCCTTCGCTGTCTGAAAGCATGGTGGAGGTCACCAAAGTACAGGTTTGAGGTGGAGCTTGATGGGGAGCTTGAATGGTTAGTATGTGGCTCTGAATTTGGCAGGCAAAGCATGGGGGACAGCCTGAGGAAACTGGGACTTAGTGGGCTATGAGAACAGACACATGAAAAGACACATGACGAGTAGTGTCTGGGGATGGAAGGGAAACACTAAACAAAACAATGACCCCCAACAATGCAGGGATATGAATGCAGGAATGTGGGTGTAAAAGAAGGGGTTCCAGGTGTCTTCCGGGATTGGGACCCCCTATGAGATAATCAGACAATGCGTTCTGGAGTTCCAATTAGTGCACCGCAGCACTCCAATATCCGTGCAAAGATATATAGAAGAAATTTATAGGGTACAAATTTATGTGCATGTTATATGCGCTTAGAAAATTTCGAGCACCCTGATCCTAGGGGTGGTTGAGTGAAATAAAACAAACAAGCAGATTTACACATGAAATAAAGTTTACTTAACAACATAGAAATAGGAAAATAAAATATAAGATAAGAGTAAAAATAAAGATAGGAATGAAAAGTATAAGAATAAAGTAAGAATAAAAAAATTAAAAATATTGGTGTAAAAAATTCAAAACAAATTTTAAAATGTGCAAAAATATGGGTTAAGAAATAATGAAATTGATTATATTGATTAAATGACACTTAATTAAATGAATGAAATTGCACCACTCTGTCACCTGTACATTGCAGCAAGCTGTGAGAGATACGCATCACTGGTCTATAGCAGTGTTTAGCGGTGTGCGGGGCCCCCTGCTGCAATTTAGTACAAAGAGATTAAAGGGGTGGGTTACGTGGCGCCCCCTGCAGTAATTTACTGTGAATAGTGCACTGAGCATTTCATGAGATTTAAAACCGATGAGTGACAGAAAAATAAAACGCACCGTTCCAATTAAGGGGCAAAGAAGCACCAGAGAGGGGTGCAGATAATGCATAACCTGCAGCTAGGTTGTTAAAGCACTGTGCTAGAAGTCAGAGCCATGCAACTCAAAGTCCATCTAGGTGAAAGTAGTCTAAAACCAAAGGGCATCTTTATACGTGCTCTGTGGGTGGGGGTGCTTTAAAAAAAAAAAACGCTCTCGGGAGCCACTCTAATTAAAGTGCCTGCAGTGTCTCATGTATTCAATGTCCCCGCACTTTGAAATGATGGTGGGGGCACTTTAACTAAAGCTCATTCCATGAGTTTTAGTTAAAGTGTCCCCGCTGCCATTCTGAAGCACAGGGATGCTGAATACACAAGACATTGGGCTGCTGAAGCGTGCTAATCAGCATGCTTCAGCAGACTCTATTAATCAAGTCTGCTCCAATGTGCTGTAATTTCAGCACATCAGGGCAGGCATCCCACAAGTCTACAGGCACCCCAAGCGTCTAACTACCTGGGTGAACACTTTTAACTACTCAGCTACTAGGGCTGAAACATAGGAGGCCCATATCCCCCATTTCTTCCAGAACTTGTGCTCAGGTATGCATGTACCTGAGTTATGTGTGTACACAAAGCCACAGATGTGTGTGTGCGCGCATGCAGACACATGCGTTTGTATCTAGCATGTCTCCTACTCAGTCTATGTATGGAGGTTTACACTTTCAAAGCATAAAGCAAAGGCCAAAAACAGCCAGCTGCCATATAGCTAGCTAGTAAACTGTCATTTGGATGTGCAAAAGGAAACAGAATTCTGCCCCAAACCTTCATTCCTCCATTTTTCTCCCGTGAAAGTGCAATGTTATCTATAGTGTAACAGTCGAGTAGACATGTTAAAGCCTATTAGTTTAGGAAATGTTGTGTGCTTAATTAATAATTAAATATACCAGGCAGAGAGAACAATTAAACTTCACTTCAGATCATGAAACTGTTCCAGTTTCAATAAAGTAGATATTACTAACCATCATCATTCCCAGGCTCTTCATCTGCTACCTCCTCTAAATCAGCTGTTTTTAGTTTGACCTCTGGGTGGTATTCATCTTCTTGCTCATTTGATGGTACTGCTGAGGTTACATTTTCTTCTATTTTTTTCCTTTCAGCTTCTCGCTCTAGTTCTTCTATTTCCTGCAGGCGTTTCTCTAGCAGCTCAGCTTGCCTCTTCTGTTTTTTCTTCAGTTTTTTCTTTTTGTTTTTCGATATTTTACCAACCTGCAATAAACATTATTGAAAACTCAACCAGTTTTACTTTCAAGTGTCTCATATTAAAATTAAGGTATTGTGCAATAACTATTGCAAATTCTGGAGGTAACATACCATATTTAAGATCTGTGTTCCCCCTTTTCTTTTCAATATAAAAAGCATTTTGTGTTACACAAAGGAAAAACGCTATGTAACCTCATGCAAGGAGTACTTTTCTAAATTAATAAAAAGGGACAGTACATATAAGATGATGTGGTATAGTTCCCATGATTCATACAACCTTGCTAACAGCAACATCTTTAAACTTTAACCAACTATTGATTATGCTTTTGCACATGGAAGGTACTTGGCTAATATAATCTACATGTGTCAGTTACTCCTCCTTTGCTAGTCCAGCTTAATAAAACATAGTTGGTAACAATCAACAAAAGTAAGATGCAATGTCAAGAAACCCAAATGGTTGACAAGTGGTGAAAAATATTTTGAAATAAACCCACAGTGGTTTAACTACACCTCTGTGAAACTGAGAAGTTTCTTATATATTACTTGCCACAATCTAGCAGACAGCAGGAGGTGGCGATGATAAGCCCCAATTTTATACCTCATAAGAAATAGAAAATGCGGAAACAATAACAACAAACAGAGAAAAAATTAAAACAGAGCTAACAGGATGAGGTAGTTTCACTACAGCGGATTTTTTTTTTTTCATTTTGACTTCAAGTTTATGCTACTGAGTCTCCCATAATATATAAGTAAGGCCCTTGCTACACTTTACATATATTATGCAATTAGCTGGTTAACTGAACAATAAATTTAAATCCAGCCACACATGCAAAGTATTTATCACACAATAAAAATGACTACCCAGATACAGAGGCAAGCAGCTATAAAGTTAGTGCTTGAAAATGTGCAACAACTCTATACCTAGCGTCTATCCAGCTTTAATTTAAACACGTAGCAGAGCCCTAAGTTTTCCTCTTCTGATCATTCAGAAACACCCTGTTAAATGCAGAAACAAAGAAAAAAAATTCTGCTCTCTAGGGCTCTCATGAATATTCATAATTTCTAAAAGAAATTACAAGTGGAGTCAGAAACCAGTAAATGGATGATGGGCCTATTAAAAAGGCATACACAAAGGAGATCAGAATTTAGATATGCTTCATTTTGTGATATCACTAAACAGTGGTGATTGTTTGGCAGATGCTTTTAAAGTAAATTAACTGCTTTTGAAAAAAAGATACTTCTGTTTAATGTCCAAGGCCCTTACACTAAAGGGACCAAATATAGTCCATGTCCCATATTTACTCAAATATAAGACAAGGTTTTCCCTCCAATCAGCAAGAGGAAAAAAAACCCTTTGTCTTACATTTGCGTACAAGAAGGCTTCATTAAATACACAGTCTATCATTAAATTGCTGAGCATATGCTCAGTGATGGGAACCTACCACAAGGCTAGGTTACTGCAGCCCATTGGAATTCTAACATTATAAAAGCCTTAATCTGTCTGTCTGTCCATAATGTTTTATTTGCACTACATCTGCCTGACATCTGACTCCCCAGGTACTTCTGCACTATTCATCCCCCTTCTCTTCCCCACCGCAGCCCGTCTCTCACCCATTGACTCCTCAATCTACATCTTCACTGACTGCTTATCTGGTATGCATATCAGCCCAGCCTCTGGCTTCTTTACTTTTCATTCCATCCAGGAAAAGCACACACCAACTGCTGAAACTTCCTTAGCCTGACAAAGGGTTTTTGAACCTGAAAGCTTGCTTAAAAATTGTTTCCCAACACTTTAAGTTGGTCTAATAAAAGATACTAGATTCACCCAAAGGACCTTGTCTGCCTAAGTAGATGAGAGGCTGTCACCCCCTTTCTCACCCCACTGCATATGATTGGGGTGGTGCTCTCCTCCACGAGGTGAAGCCAGACCAGGTGGCCCCATGTCTCATCCGCGTCTAAATTTTTGGAAGATCCCAGAACTCATGACCAGAAAACCCAGTTTCAGTTCCGAGTGGGAAGCTGATTAGCACATGGAGCCTTTGTGAGAGGTATCTGGAGTACACACTTGTATTGAGTAGTGCTGGGCTGTGAGGTCACCATGGCTTGAAATATTGTTGACTGCTGAGGCCCAGCCCAATGGCTATATGATAAGTCATGAGCCTTTTGGCTTTTAAGTAATATCATACATAGTTTGGCATAAGTATAGCATAAGTAGGTATATACTGCTCAAAAAGTATGTTTATGGAGTACCTATGCTGAAACTTGCAGCAGTTTGCATAAAAGGTAAAATGCACCAATTCTGATGATCTATGTCTATAGTATCCATAGTAATTTGTCTATATGCAAATTACTACAGGTATGATTATTTCAAAGTCAGTATTTTTTCGTCTCCTATATTTCAAGTTGCCCTTCACTTCCATGTGCTCAGGGAGGGAACAGAGACCAAGCAGAGTCTAACAGTAATGAGGAGAAGGGTTGCAGGGGGAAAAAAGGGGGGGGTCAGAGGATAAGGGGGCCATCTGAGTGTCTCAGCACCTGCTGTAGCAATGGGAAGGGGTCAAATTCAAGACAAAACTCAGGTAATTAGATTCTATACCAGGAAAATTGTTATAATTTTATAAATTTTCCATATATATAGCATCTAATTATCGGGAACTTGTCTTAAATTCTGGGTTATCTTGAATTCAAGTAAATATGGTATATAATACAACACAAGGAATGGTATACTATACAAGAAATGCCACAAAGTACATGCATACATTTTTGGCAAGAATAGGACCTAATTAATTATTCCATATAAAAGATGAAAAGTGGTAATGTAACTTTCTTCCATGAGGCCATTATCCCAGCTATGAACTGCTCAAACATGTATACAATTTACCATTGGGTAAACACTATTTAAAACTGGTAGTGCCTAAAGACCACATTTCATCCTATTTTAAATAAATACATCTTTACTACGAGAGAAAAAAAACCTCTCAACTCTTAAAACAGAATTTCAGGATTAATTTTGCCATATTAAAATGTGAGAAAAACAAGTCAGTTTTAATGACTGCACAAAATGCTCATTTAAGGGCAAAATCTGTAGCCAAAGGAAGCTTCTACATGGATTGTAAAATGGTAGTGTTCTAACAGTTAATATCAACTACAGGATAACAAGAGGCTTAACATGAATTATATAACCATACTTACAGGCTTTTGTTGTGGGGCAGTACTCACTAAAAAAAAAGAAAAAAAAGTCAAACTCAGAGAAGAATCTAAGCGCATTTTTACAAAAGCATTCTAAACTACAATAAGCTATTGCAACTCAATGACTTGTTAGGAGTATTTTGACTCCTTAAAAATGTCTATAGACCTAAAACAATTAGCTGTCTTTGGGGGAAAAAAAGGATAAAAAAAAGTATTCCACAGCAAATTATCTATCTTATAAGAAATAAGTAAAGACAACTTGCTCATATTCCTTTTTAAAAAGAAATTTGGAAAAAAAAATCCCCTCTAAAAGGTGTATTGCATACAAGGAAAAGAATAATAAACCCAACTTGTCATATCTGGAAGTGCATGGCTGACAGAAAATTAATTCCAATTGTGCTGCAGCTGGGTCAGGTCCAGACTCTTGGGTATGTACTGCCTTGCCCCTTAGTGCATCAGTTGCTATTGAGCATGGGAATTAGGGGTACAGCCTCTGAATCAGAAATTCCTAGACTAAATGCTGGAGGCTGCAAGAGCAAGAGGCAGTGGGGAAAAAACCCTGGTCATACCTCTCTTTCAACATCAGCTCTGGTACTGTGACACAGGTCTATTTGATGGGCCATAGGCCATGGTCTTCTTCCCATCACAAAAAACTATGAACCTCCTTTAATAAGGGAGGCCACTGGGGACACACCAACTCATTACTTGGGACAAATAAAAAGAAAACAAGGATGACAGTGAAGTCACAGGTTAATAAGGGATTTGGAAGGGGACAATGGCCACTTCCCACTGCCCCCGAATGAGTCGAGGGAGCCCGTGGATGCCAACCAGTGTAACTTTGTTTAGAGACGTGAATGAAGGAATGACAGGAAGAAGGTCCCACATTTACTCAGTTTCCCCCAGCCAAAGCCACCTTCCTGGTCTTCTAGATGGCCAGTTTGGCCAGAGTCAGGAGGAGGTTAATTAGAAGGTCCAGGGGCTGGGTAGGGCCACAGACAGGGAATGCATGACAAAAAGGTGCAGGGAGAAGTACAGCCAGAACCTCAGCAGGAGATACTGGAGAAGAAGAAAGAGAGATGGCAACCTGGTACACTCAAGATAGATGTGTACCAGGGTCTCCCTCTTTTGGCAAAAGTGCCAGATGTCAGGGGTGTCCACAAAGTACACAAGATACACACCCGTGGCAACAGCTCCATGGAGAAGCTGCCAGCTGAGGTCCCTGGTGACTCATGGGATCAAGCTTGAATACGGACTTGTCCACCAGGGATCCTTGTCCCCCACCCTTCACCTAGGGTGTCCTGCCACTTGTTGGAGCAGGGATGGACTGTGTGGAGCACAAGCAGGTAGAGCTGGAGGCAGTGGGTTGCTCAGAGGCAGGTCAACTTGGTATCCCCCAGTCTGCTAAGATGGCAGGGCAGGGAGTGCTGTGAGGCCTGCCAAGACAGCGGCCTCAGGACTAGCTCCACAGAGTTGGGGGATACTGGGGAGTGGGGGACTGCCCTTGTGCAGGACCTGGTTGATATAGGCAAGGGCAGCCTTTACCTCCTGGAGGGAGCACTTCTATTTGCCAGACCAGTGCAGAAGAATCCACCCCACCTCTGCCTGGTATAGTCCAGGTCTCCTATACAAGTGATGTTGGCCAGGACCATCCTCTGGCACACTGAGGACACCTCTGTTGCCAGCACCATCAGCTGGGGGATTTTCAGAAGGGGCTCATCAAGGAGGTCAGAGCCCTAGGCGACCGTGTCTGGGGACCTGGAGACAGAGACCAACTTCCAGGCCCTTAGGAGGTCCTGACAGAAATCCAGCAGCTCTTCCAGGTCTCGCTTGGGAAGACCTTGCAGACGGAAAGGCTGCCAGTTGTATCAGAACCCTCAGAGGTGGTGCAGGATGGTGCGCCTGATCAGGAACCACATTGCCTGCCTACTGGCACTGTACACATGACACTGCAAGGCCTGAAGATGGAAGGTGTGGACCTGGCTGCAGAGGCACACCGGGCCCTGTCTGCCCTCCCATAAAGGGAGGCTCAGGATACTTGCAGGGACCCAAAGCTGTCCCAGAGAGAACTCCAGTGTCCATTTCTGAAGACTGGCTAGGAGCTCTAGGAGTTTGGCCAGTGTGTTGAAGCAGTGCCAGAACATGGACAGAACCAGCTGGTTGATGACTAGTGCCCTCCCACAAAGGGTGAGACACTGAAGCAGGCCCACCCATACCCACAGCTGCTCAGACACCCTGACCTCTAGCTGATGCCAGGTCTCCAGCAGGGAGGGGTGACTGTGGGACTAGAAGACCCCCAGATAGAGCAGCAAGCCCTCTTTCCACTGGATGTTCTGGAGTGCGGGTGGAAGTGAGCCCACCTGCCATCCATCACCCACCATCAGGCCACAGCTATTGACCAGCTGACTTGGGCAAAGGAGGCTGCTGAGTAGATGAACTAGTAGTTCTCCATCTCACGTCACACTGCCTGGGTCCTAGATGGCAAGGAGCACATCACTGGCATATGCTGACAGGATCACCCTCCTGGCTGGCTCCTTGAGCACCAGCCCCGCCACCCACTCGCAAAAGAGGCAGAGGAACAGCTCCAAGGTGATGGTGTAGAGCTAGCCTGACAGTGGATAACCTTGATGCTCTCCCTGCCTGAACTAGATGGACTCTGTCAACATCCAACTGAGCTTGATCATACACTCTGTGGACATGTACAGCACCTGGAAAAACTGCATGAAATAAAGACTGAAACTGAATGTCCCCATCATGCCTGTGAGGTACCTGTGATCTACCAAACGTCTTCTCCTGGCTGAGGGACAGGGGGGTGAATGACAGGCCTTCCTTGCGAGCGAACATGAGGAGGTCATACACCAGGTACAGATTGTTGAAGATGGACTGTCTTGGAACCCTGTGTGCCTACACAGACCTCAGGCGCAGTGAGATGGCTTTCACTATGACCTTATAATCCATACAGAGAAGCGAGACTGGGCACCCGTTCCTCAGATAGTGGGGATTCCCCTTTTGGCAGCAGAGTTAACACAGCCTTCCTGCATGGCAGGGGGAGTTCCCCATCCCCCTCAGATTCAGCCCACATGGTAGCAAGGTCCTGTCCAAGGACATCTCAGAAGATGCAGTAGAACTCCACAGTCAGCCTGTTGACGCCTGGCATTTTGTTGGTGGTCATCAGGTGGAGGGCATCCAAGAGCTCAGCCAAGGTGAGAGGATCCTCTAGCTGGTCCTTGTCACCTATGCTTCCCAATGGCAGTCCCTCCCACAAGACTTGGCAGGTGTCGGCATCAGTTGGATTAGGCAAGAAGAGAGCCACGTAGAAAGCCCTCGCCCCTTCATGTTGCTCACTGAGATGCATGAGGAGGTTGCTGCCCTCTGCCAAGAGGCAAGCAATATACTTCTTGGCACCCCTCCTCTTCTCCAGGGCACAGAAGAAGTGGGAGCCACAGCTCATCTCCCAGAGGAGCTGGACACGCGAGAGGGCAAACACACTGCAAGTGGAGCAGTCATCCAGAGCTCAGTAGCTCTGAGCTTTTCCCAACACTCTCCTCAGAGGGACAGGCTGTCCGGGTCAGTGGCCAGGCACCTCTCCAGCACTTCCTTTTCAAGCTGCTCTCTAGCCTCCTCCCACTGTTTGATGTGTCCCCTAGGTGTAGCAGTGACAGTACTATCTGATGCACACCTTCCCACATCCCACCATCTCCAGGCCAAGGGAAAGGCCTGCTGCTGCCCTCTGAGTGCAGCTCACCTCCTCCCCAAACTGCTGCCCAGTGCAACAGTCTGGGAACTAACCTTACCTGTAAAGACTGAGACAAAAGAGGCACTGAGCACTTCAGCTTCTTCTGCATCCTCTGTCACAACGTTGCCTCCCCCATTGAGTAAGGGACCCACACTTTCCTTGATCCTCCTCTTGCTACCAACACACATGTAGAAATCCTTCCTGTTACCCTTCACATCCCTTGCTAACTACAATTCCAATTGTCCTTTGGCCTTCCTGACTGCATCCCTGCATGCCTGAGCAATGATCTTATTCTTCCCTGGTTATTTATCTAAGTTTCCACTTCTTAGAAGCTTCCTTTTTGTGATTTAGTTTACTGAAGAGTTCCTTGCTAAGTCAAGCTGGTCTTCCGTCATACTTGCTAGTCTTCCTGCACATTGGGATGGTTTGTTCCTGCACTCTCAGTAAGTCTTTTTTAAAGTACAGCCAGCTTTCCTGGACTCTTCTTGCCATCAGACTGGCTTCCCAAGGGATCCTGCCCATGAGTTCCCTGAGCAAGTCAAAGTCTGCTTTTCTGAATTCCAGGGCCCTTAGTCTGCTGCTCTCCATCCCTTCTTTCCTCAGGATCCTGAACTCAATCATCTAGTAGTCACTGTTGCCTAAGTTGTTATCCATCACTATATTCCCCACCAATTCTTCCTTGTTTGTGAGCAGCAGGTCAAGAAGAGGATGGCCACTAGTTGGCTGCTCCAGCACTTGCACCAGGAAGTTGTCCCCAACACTCTCCAAAACCTTCCTGGATTGCCACCACACTGCTGTATTGCCTTTTCAGCAGATATCAGGGTGACTGAAGTTCCCCATGAGACAGCATGTTACAGAGTACCCCATGGCACCTGCTGATGGTGGGGAGCGGGCCCCAATTGTCTGAGGTGGTGTGGGTGGAGGAGGTGGAGGGCCCAAGCTCTGAGGCTGCACATTTCTCTGCAGCCACCCGGACACAGCTTTGGCTGCTGGGCTGAGCAGCCAGGCTTGCAGAGCTGGACAAATCCTCTCTGCAGGTGTTGCTGAGTTGGCTTTGTTCCCAGGCCCTTTTCCTTTCCCATCCCCTGTGGAGGAGGACAAGGAGCCCTTGCCTTTTCCCTTCTCCTGTTTGGTTTAGGGAGCCCTGTAGTCCCCTTCAAGAGAGATTGGCTAGCAGGAATCCCCTGGCCCTGCGAGGTCTCCCCCATCTCACTGGCTGGCTTCTGGTTGGATGCTGCCAGCACGGCAGCCCCCTCAGGGGGCTCTTGCCATGCCATGGGAAGCTAGGTGGGAAGA